ACCGTACATTCCTAATAGAAACCTAAGATCTTCAAAGAAAAAACTCTTAATGGTACCTAAAATGCAATCTTAAAACATATGGATACAGAGCGTTCTGTCATAGAGCTCCTACTCTGTGGAACACCTTGCCGGATGATATCAGGCAAGTGTACCTTTTAACAACATTTAAGTCTAACCTTAAAACCCATTTATTTAGGCAGCTGTAGTTTTTGCTTTCATTGATTTTTTACTAGTTTTTTAATTCACTTTAATTCTTAATTGATTATATTTTTTTATCACGGTCATTGTAAAGCGCCGCCCAATCTTTGAGAAGCGTTGCGCTACATAAGCTATGTATTGTATTGTCGAATTAATTTGATGGCCTGCTCCCAGTTGGCTTGTTAGCTCAATTGGTAGAGCGCTGCACTAGTATCGCAGAGGTCAGTGGTTCGAATCCCGTACAGGCCTGAAATTTTTTTCAGGTCTGATTTTCACTATTGCTCAAATAGTGCTTTACTGCGAAGGATCGTTCTCATATACGTCTCATAACCGCAGTTCACACATATGTTTCATATGTTTGTTGTTGTTTGATACCCTTAATGATTAGTAAGTTCTTCTTAAAAAAACTTTGTAGCAATAAATTCAGCACGCGCTTGGAGTTAAGCGTCACTTGTTTGAACAAATGCGTTGACGAATGTTATACCTCAAGAAATTGTCTTGTTCGAAATGGGGGTGTATCGAAACTGAAACTAAGCAGGCAATGAAACTCTCTCCCTGGAGACAGTTCATGTCGGGAAACAAAAAAAATACTCTATATTACTGCGTGATTCTGTACAATTAAAGACCTTTTAGAAAACTTTCCATAAATACAAGCGGTGCTGTAGACTGTAGTTACATCTTTAGGTCCAAATCAGCCATCCTGGCTGCCAACTTGCAACCTGTACTATCAAATAAAATGATGATGGTGAATCTTCGCAAAGTCTTAAGTGAAAGTTGAAGTTAGCACTCAAGGAAAAAGTGTTCAAATGAAGAGGATAAATTTGTCCTATGCCTGTTTCGTTCAAGGCTCTTCAAACTGAGGTCTTGTTCAAATTTGCCACTTCATCGGCCAGAGATATACCCAGGTACTCTGCTTGACCTAATATAATCTATCGTGGGATTTCCAAACACCAAGAGGGAAAAATTGACCCAGACCCGTGTATTTTTGAGAAAATATATAAGGAGGTTTTAGTCTTGACTATCTTTCGAGGGTTGAGAGGCAATCCCATCGCTCACGATCCACTATCCATTTTTTTTCCAGTTCCTAGGGAAGGTCCCCGTCATCTCAAGTTCAATGTGCTTAATTCGACTGCCATCAGAGTCCGCTGGTCAGCTCCACTGCAGTCGCAGGGAGGACGTATTCGAGGCTATGCTGTATCCTTTACAAAAGTCGATGATCTTGGTAAAGACCTGTTTCCACCCGAACAAACTCAAGTTAAATTTACTGCCTCCGAACTTGAGTTGGTAAGAATTGTGTTGTGAAAATAGATTCCATGTTGCCATATGTCTTTTTGGTAACAGATCACGGATGACTTCAAAATGTGGTAGGAAGAAAAACAAGTGGCACACAAGGCGTAGCCGAGTGAGTCTGATGTTGTCGCCATGTTTTACGTCTTCTGTGATATTTTACTGTACTGACACACGGTAACCTGGAAACTATTTGCTTTTTGTAATAAAGAAGCGAGAAATTGTTGATGGTGACGTCACCTATACGTCTGTCCTCCAATAGTTTATAAGTAAGAACCAATCAAAATGCTTGCGTAATTCAGCTGCTAATTTTATGCAGAGTAATTGATTCTATTGGTTCAACAAATGGTTTCGAATCTTAATATTTTGAAACTAATATTCTGAGATTTAATTTCGGGTTTGACGGGTAATTTCGCATGTTGAAGGCAAACGCCTGAAAATACTAATCATAATCTCCAATCTATTGAGATAGCTACATCTGTTTTTCCTCTGTTTCATCAACAGTCCTTAGTTTTATCTGAACTTGATCCTGATTCAACCTACGAAATAGCAGTTGCAGCCTACTCTAACAAAGGAGATGGGGAGCGAAGCATTTCGCTACTAGCGAAGACCTTTCCCAAGCCACCGGATGCACCTTTCGTTATTGGCACTCAGCGCTCTTCTTCTTCAGGCACTAACGTGACGATTAAATGGTTCACAGCAGCCCCTGGTATCCTGTCTTTCAGGCTGCGGTATGGAAAGTCTTTGCACAATCTCCGTGGACGGTATCATTCTAAAGTCAAACTGAAAGAAATGACGTTTCTTCCTCGAACCAAGGAGTATTTGTTTCGAGGGCTTGGTGAGTCATTGAGTCGAGCCTGTTGGGATGGTAAACTCTGTACTATTATCGCTTAGTCGGGCATTCTGGCGCATTTTGCTGACTAAAATGTGTTTCACCCTGCTCGCACGCTCGTGTGATTGTTCAGACTGTCTGTTATTTGTTTTCCTCGTATCTCTTTTCTAAATGCTTCTCAAAGTGATAATAATAGTAATATGTTTTACTCAAGTTTATGTTCTGGGGCATTATTATGTTTTGGCCCTTCTCAGAGCTCATTTTAACCCTTGTCTAAAAGCTCGGGCTAAAATTACTCAGAGTCGAGGCGAAAACGTTTCTATTTCCGCGAACATTAACTGTATTGTAGAGTAGACATCTTTATTTATACAGGATAGCCCCTTGAGAAGAAGACTAGAATATCTAACCATTTCTTGATATTAAAGAAAAGCAAAAATAATTATGGATCATATAAACTTAGAGAATTTGTTGAGATGAAGTCAAATCCCGTATTAGCTTGCCTTTTCGCAGGAGTGAAAACCGCCTTCGCTTGCACATATTTCTCAGAGATTAATTACAGTATCTTCCATTTTTGGCCCCAAATCTTGTCTGAATAGAGATGCACTCTTCCCAAGGTCGTCGGCCTTGCTTAGAAGAATCAAACCAAATTAATAGACCGCATATTCTTCTAAATTATTTTAAGACCCTTAGTGTTGGTCCGGCCGGGACCAACATTATTTACTTTGCTGTCAAGGAAGCGGTTTGGGGGTTTTTTTTAGACTGTTTGTCTTCTGTTCTTCTTCTCTTCCCCATTTTTGTCAAAGATAAAAAGAGAGATAATGTTCTTTCACTGGAAAATCTGCCATACCCCTTAGGGCTGGTAAGATGCTGTTGTGGGCGGACCATCCCTGCCTACTTTCGCGTTCAATTTGACAGTCTCCCTTTGCCTACTATTCCAAAGCCGCCTGTTCGTTAACTCACTAACATGTTAAAGTTCGTCACGTTGAGCAGTCAGTCCATCACCACAACGTTGTTTTTCATTTGTTGGGCTAGTTGATCAGAGACTCGGTCGGTTAGTTCGTCACCCCTCGGTTAGCCCTTCTTCGATTATTTTTATGGAGACGGCTTTGCTTAAATGCATCGATTCTCTTTGTGATACCCTTCCTCTTTGATGATTTACAAGCAACAAAGGTGAAACGGATTAACGAGTGTAGTACCCGACAACATACACGCTAACAGAAAATAAATTAATATACCCAGATAAATAAGTCATCTCGACTTCCGAATTACTCTTGGTCTCTTTTTCAAAACGAGGCTCGGTGTTCAACCAGTTGTATGAAGATGAGTTTAATTTGCATGTGAAAGAAAACGTATTCAGTATCATCACATGTACCTTAAACTGTCGTTTCCTTACTCGTTACTACCTAAACCCTCATTCTCCTTTAACCGGTCTCTATTCTTTCTGCAGACTTGGGAGTGTGGTATCTGTTCAAAGTCTCCATACAAAGTACAGCCGGCTGGTCACCAGAAGCACCGTATTGGATTCAAATGCCCACCGGTCCACCAACGGGACCCCCTCTTCGGGTTAGGTCTCAGGCTATGTCATCAACAGAAATTCGCGTCACATGGCTAGAACCGAACAAGTGGCAACGTAATGGACCTCTGACTGGGTATTCTGTAGAATACAACCCGCTTAAGCGAAGAAGACGGGTAGGAGTAAAAAATATCACCAACCCGAACCAAACACAGGCACTCCTAACGGGCCTCAGAATGTACACTGAATATGAGATTCGAGTCCGAGCCGTTGGCTTGAAGGGTCCAGGGCCCTTGAGTCGCCCTGTTGTCGAGAAAACAAATGAAGGAGGTAGGTCCTGCTGTTCGATTCTTAAGATCCTTAACTTTGTTTCTGAGAACAAAATATGGTAAATAAGAGGTGTAGATATAATTTTCATTTCTTTTTACGAGAAAAAAAAAAGATCATTGTTCATAAAATTAACTGCTTAATTTGCTATAGATCAAATGAACACTTCAGTTAGATCAAATTAAACGGAGTTACTGGAAACCTTAGATAGAGCCGCCCAGCCACTTCTCCTGCTTTGTAAAATTGCATGTCTTAATTAATTCCCTGTTTTACTTTTAGTTCCCAGTCCTCCTCGTAACCTCTTGGCAGTAGCCCGAAGCACTGACTCTGTTACAGTGTCATGGCAACCGCCCCAGTCTGCAAACGGCGAAGTATTGGGTTATTTAGTAATCTATTCGGACGCTGCAAGACTGCCCCTCTCTCAGAGGAGTAATACGGGAGTCAAAGGAGTTCGAGCTACCTTAAAGTCCCTGTCACGTGACTCGAAGTACTGGTTTCGTGTCGCCGCAAAAACGTCGGTTGGTCTCGGCAATTATTCTTTGCCAATCTCCGAAAAGACCCTTAAATACGACTGTAAGTAAAAAATCTCCACATTACTTGCTTCCGGATGACTCGAAATAAGTCCATTTGTGTGCTCTTTGAGTCCTGATCGTTTCGTTCGATTTCATTTTCAGTGCCAGAATCTTGCCGAGATCTGAAATTTGACTCAAAAGGGAGCGACTTAGTGGCACTGAACTGGAAACCGCCAGTTACGGATGCAGGAATAACTAAATATAAGGTACTGTTTCAGCATTTCCGGGAGGAAAGCAAAGCAAAACATAGCCTAGGCATACTACGCATAGTAAGCTCTATTGTTAGTACCTACGTACTTAATCACGTTCTTTTGATCACGTGTGTTAATGGGCCCCTCATAGTTCATCGGTTTAAACAATGATTGAAACTATCGCTTTGAGACACATCAGCGTTAGCAGCTTCAAAAAAATTGATAAATGTAAAGCCTTCACCTCTTAGCTTCAGAACGCATATTTTTCATACTGTTCTCTATACATTTCCTTAGGCCTTGACAAGGAGAATTTGTTTAACAATCAATTGGTGGTGATTATTTCCTTTATTCTTATGACTTTAATGTGTGATTCAGAGGTGACAATAGGGACTTTAAGCAAACTCCGACGGCGACGGTAACGAGAACGTGGAAAAACAATAGATCTAATTGGCAGAACAGTAGCCCAGCACGTGCGTTTTAAAACTTTGCACATTTCTTAGCCCTTCTTTGCAAAACAACAACGTGAAATCACCAAAATTTGCGTCGTCTGCGAAGCGAAACCGTAGCTGCAAAGTATTTTAATTTACATTTGGAACTCAACGCTACTTTTATGCGTTATGTTGAGTTTTAGGTCTGGCGCCCTAGGAGACGGTAAACTCCTGCAGCCATTTTGGAAATTCTAACTAAAAGTAGAAACTCGTCTTGTAATCGACGTCTTCCGTGGCGTTGCCGGACTGACTGCTTAAAGTCCCTATTGTAAGGAGAAATTGGATTTCAATAACTCTTAGGGGTGAAAGGGTTGGTTTACTGCGACCTTAACTAACTCGACGTCTCCGTTTAGGGAACACTTTCTTTTCTTTCAAGTGCTTCCCTTGAATTTAGGTTGCTCCGTGCGCCTCTCTTGATTCGCTCAAAAGTTTTCATCTTTCCTCTTTCAGATAGTATATTCTGGTTCAAAATCTTACTTGGAGAAAGGCGAAATGAAACAGCTGTCGCATATTCGCGAAGTGAAGTTGGACGCTGTTTCGCCCGGTCTTCAATCGCACACTTTAAAAGGACTTGTTCCCCACACAACCTACAAGATAGAATTGTCAGCGGTAAACTCCATGGGCGAAGGGCCTGTTGAAGTTTTAACTCTAAAAACCGACACTGGTGAACCTCCTGCTCTGTCAAAACCTGTCATCATTGAGGACAAAATTACAGCTGAGTATGTACCCGTAAAATTGGCAACTGCTTCAGAGAGAAATGGACCAATAAGGTAAGGAAAAAATGAAGAAGTGACTTACTTTACTTTGCTGTGTTGGTATATTTTGGCTATTTTAATAAACTCATAAACCCCAGCATTGTTAGACTATCAGTGCATTGTTTAGCAGACAGGGCCCAGTTGTTCGAAGGCCGATTAGCGCTAACCCAAGGTTAAATTTTAATCCAGGTTTCTATATTCTTTGTTCAAAAGCTGTTTTGGGATAATTTTCCCAATTCTTTTTAGCTCATTCAATCATCAAATTGTAAACAAGTGGAAATAAACTGAATTTTCTTTTAAAGCTTTCGGATCTGAAATCAAATTTCACACTAACCCTGGGTTATCTTAACCCACCTTTGAACAACTCGACCCAGAAGATTAGAGTTAAGGACGTTATGAGCAAGAAAAGTGCTACAGGAAAAAAACGAAACAAAACAAATTAAAACTCGTAAGCGAAGTAAAATCCTTAACCTTTGTTAAACATAGCCATCAGTCCGTTAACACTTGATGTTTTTTTACATACAGCCATTACGTAGTGATCGTGGTGCCGCTGGGCAAAAGTAATAAGCTTCCCGATGACAAGTCCCCGGATGACTTCTTCAGAGAACTGAGACGAAAGCGGGAGGCCGAGGAGAACAATGAAGAACCTTACATCGCCGCGAAATTCGCCCCAGCAGAACTACCAAAGACATTCAACGTGGGAGATGAGAGCTTCAAGAATCTTTATGGTTACAACAATAAAAAGCTGAACAAGGGCTCTTACTACACCATGTTTACAAGAGCTTATGTCAAAAACGACAAAGGGGTACGTATGCTTGATACAACTGTGTGTGGGTGGGAGATGTGGGGGGTGGGGTGGGGGTGTTAGGGTTAGGATAATATATAATGGAGAAGAAAAGTGTGAGGAGGAGGGAAGGTTTGATAGAGGTGCCGACTGTCATATTTATCATTCCTGATCTTATTTTCATCTCTTATTCTACAAAATTATCTCATGGGTGGCCTTCAGTGGTGTATCACTTAAATTTTCCCTTGAATTTATTTGATTTTCGTAGATGGCAATGTCATAGTAATTTTTATCGCCATCATTAGTATTATATCACCGAAGTAATTTTCCAAGGAGAGCTTTTCGTACCTTCGAAATTAACGTTTATTTGCTACCTACACCTAAAAAATGTTAAGAGTTTTTTTCTTTCTCTTTCTCATCCATAGGACGAGTTGTACACATCGAGTCCATTTATAACGCCTGTAAAGTTCGGTAAGTACTTTCCTCTCTCGGATTATTTCGACTGAAAAGACCCCTGTACAGAGGCGCTTGAGGCAAATTATATTTGTATGGAAAGACCATCGAGAAATTATTTCAAAAGGAAAAGCGCGATACACCTTTTTTTTTATTCCCCCCCCCCCCCCCCCACTCATCCCACTAAAAAATGGAATGATACCGGTATGTTTCTTTTCCCCGCCTTGTGCAGAAAAATGAGTATCGAAGGTACTGATTCGGTCTCACGTCTTCGTTTGAACTAGGTGACAGTCCAGGGGGGAGTTCTACTGGTGCCTTGCAGGAACCTAAGGAACACGCTGAAGGAGGACTAAACCTGATGTTTATAATCATCCCAGTCGCGGCTCTTATTGTGCTTACCGCCATCATTGTTGTTACAGTGGTTGTTTGTAGAAGGTAAAACGTTTTTTTTTTGTGCTATTGTTGTTTAGAGATGGAGGGCGTTCGGAACAGAATGTACAGCAGCAGTAGATTAGGCAAATGATCTCTGCAAACCTTACGTTGGCGATTGATACTCTTGGATCCGTAATTACAAAAAGCTGGATTTTTTCTATTTTAAGCTACAGGAAACTTTGAGGCAATGTGGTTAAGATGTGACTCACCTTGTATTTTAGGAGAAAAAGAGGATGTAAAAAGTCCAAATCTTTGGATGATGAAACAGCAGAACCATCAGATCCAGTAGAGATGAAGAGAATGACAATCCAAACACCAGGTATATTTTTACCAAATATGAAAAAGACCCTTGGTTATATCTATTCCAAAAAGACTTTGTTTATCTGTTGAGATACATCATTCAGTAGGAGGATTAAGCAGTGTGAACTCTCCATTCAGTAGTAATTTGTCCATTGTACCGTCGTTAAAATAGAAGACCTTCACCTAATTACGTGATGGTTTTGTTCACAGGCATGATGGACCATCCGCCAATTCCTGTCTCCGACCTTTTAAATCACAACAATAGCTTGAAAGCTGAAAAGAATTCTAAATTTTTGCAAGAATACGAGGTAAGTGAAGCTTCCTATTTACTGTAAACGCGTCATCTCCATAAACCACCTTTGCAGTAAAGTCCCCCTTTTTTGTTAGCTCCTTCTCTGATAAGTTCTCCCTCGCCTTAGGATCCCTAATCCGTAATAAGCTTCTCTCCCCCCTCCCCTCCTCCGACCCCAATTTCAGTATCACAATGGTTTCGTGCTGAGTATTTTTTTAAACGCTTTAAGCAAACCAAGATTTTAAATCAGTGAGAACCATCAGCCAACCCAATCACCATTCGGCTTTCAGTTGCTTTCCTGCCTCCAACGCGAAGTGCTCGTTAGCAAGATTTTTCTTGTAGAAGAGGGTTACCTTAATTTCTCCCTTTTTTTCTTTTTTTTTTTTTTTTTTTTTTTTTTTTTTTTTTTTTTTGCAGTCAATTGAACCAGGAGAAACCTTTACTTCCGAAGCTTCATCACAGGAGTGTAACAAATCAAAGAACCGTTATCCCAACATTGTTGCCTGTAAGTAGAATGAATGGGAGATAGAACAGTTTTCTATAGAAGAAAAATCCGAAACTGCGTTCATTTTGGATCGCCTCACTTTGTCGATAAGTCAGAGTGTTTTTGTCTATCAAATGCAACGCTTGAGGCCTGTGCGACTTGATTATCCAAAGTTGGATTCTCGGATAAGTTTTTACTTAGGTTTCGAAAAACCAAAACCAAACTTATTGCAATAGCTAATCGGGGCGAAGATTGACATCATCACTACCCGTATAACTCCTAGTAAAAGCAGGTAAACTGCACGAAACACGGAAAAACACGAGTAAGAAGATCATGATTTTAGTTCTAAATCTGGTTGATGGACAAAGTGGCGTGAGTTTTCCGGACCAATCACTTATTGAGACAATCTTGTCCTTGTTCACATTACAAACCAAGTAAACGGTTTTTTTTTTCTTTTTCAGACGACCATTCTCGCGTACACTTGTCAACAGTAGATGGTATCGTGGGCTCAGATTACATCAACGCCAACTTCTGTGACGTAAGTATTTCCAGTTCACCTCTTTACCTCAGCTTTGTGTAACTAGACTGACTCTCTAGTGCTTGACTATGTGAAATATATCAAGCAAATAAAAAAACAAACAAAAACGTTGTTAATGTCACGTGCATCGTGAAAATGTTCAAATATTGGATGAAGTGCTTCGTGAATGGAAAACGTTTTAAACCTGAATTGCTGTTATTGTTTTGCAGGGATACCGCAAAGAAAGCGCGTACATTGCTACACAAGGTAAGTAAAAGCTTTTTGTATGGTGTCTAGATTGATTCTATATTCGTTCAAATTCAAATCTGTTTGGCCCTTTAGAAAAACAATGCACTTGCAAAACTGGAAAAACTCTCGTCTCGGCAGATATGATAAGAACGCTCTCTTTCGTTGGTGTTTTTCACAGGTCCTCTTGAAGAAACAATCGATGACTTTTGGCGAATGATCTGGGAATATAAAACGTTTACAATTGTCATGCTTACCGAACTAGAAGAAAGAGGAAGGGTAGGAACAATGTTGCTTTGTAATATTTCTTTTGTTTCTTTTGTCCTAAGAAGTTGGGTTTTAATTACGTTTACTTAATTTTGTCGATAGAATTTTCGCCATCTTCGAAGTTCCTTATTGTCCTAAAGGAATTATTTATAATAAGGAGGATGAGGGAGGGGAAGAAACTTATCTTTTCTGGAAATAACTGATTAATGTTTAGAAACTAGTGACAGTCTCGCGATTAAATTTTGGGCAAACAGAGAATAGTTCAAGTCCTTGGTTAAACAAAAGGTACTTTAAAGCTTGACGAGAGAATCTTTGGAAAATATACGTATAATAACACGATAGATAAAGATCACAGCCCGAAAAGCTTGTTATTTAGAGTTGAGTGCCCTCAGGAAAAGAGCACCACCATTCAAACTTCTTGAGCATGAAGTCTGATCAGAACATGAACAGTTTACATAACCTTTCCTTTCTTTTTCTGCAGATAAAATGCGAACAGTATTGGCCCACCGATGGGACTGAATTATATGGTGATATCGAAGTTACAGTAACAGACTGGATTGAGTTTGCTAATTACACAATTACAACGCTGCAGATATGCAAGGTCAGTGCAAGATCCGCAATTCTACCTCTTGATTTTTAACAGCAAGTTTTCGAGCAAAAAGTTTCCTTAGCAGTTTGGATGGACTGATAT